ATCGCTGACGTCATATGAGGTATCGGACTGTGATTGGGCCACGCATTCTTACCTCCCTCCGCCGCTAGCTGTGATTGGTCTAATGTTATATAACGTGGCCTGGCATGGGAGGGAAGCTTGTTGACCTAGCCACGTCAGTCTCATTGTTCTCAGTCACCGCGTATACTGTTCTCTCTTGTGCCTGCTAATCTGTTCAACAATGGCATCCGCTGGACCCCCACCACCCCAAAAAAAACCTTGATTTATCTGGACCAAGCCGCCCCAAGCCCAAGAAGATATGACGTGCCCTAAGTTACGAAGTTAAGTACAAGATCGTGCAAGATTTAGAGAAAGGAACGAGACAAGTTGATTTGGCGCGCCAGCATGGCGTGAACGAATCTACGATCCGGACGATCAAGAAGGATGCCGCCAAGATTATAGAACACATGAGCATCACAAAGTCTGCAGGTGCTTCAATGGTGAAGTATTGTCAGAATAAGGTGCTGCTCAAGACTGAGAATTTACTGGTGAGCTACTTAATTCGTCAGGCAAGACGGAACATGGCCTCCGACACGCGGGCAGTGCAGGACTACGCTCGTGAACTGTACTCATCAGTGGCGCGCAAGATGGGAATTGCAGAGCCCAAACCCTTCACTGCTTCCTCTGGGTGGCTGCAAGGGTTTAAGAAAAGGAACAAGATTACCAACATTAACATTGTTGGTGAAGGAACTGGTGCTGACCGTGCTGCCGCCATGGATTTTCCTCCATTCTTACGAGAAGTTATGGAGGAAGGACAGTACACCGACGATCAGGTGTTCAACGTGGATGAATCCGGTCTTTTTTTGGAAAAAATTACCTTCCAAGACCTTCGTTGTCAAGTCTGCCAGCAAGTGTCGGGGCCGGAAATTGCAGAAGGAGCGCATCACCGTCCTGTTTACCACCAATGCCTCCGGTAACTGTAAGCTCAAGTTGTCGGTGATCCACACAGCCCGCAAGCCTACAAGAACATGGACATGACCAAGCTAAATGTCCACTGGCTAACCTCATGTAAGGCGTGATGTTCACTCGTCTGTCCCTCTCCTGGTTTGACGACTGTTTCGTTCCCGACGTGAAGAAATTCTTCGCGCAAAATAATGTGCCATTTGTAATTATTGATTGTCAGACCAAAGCTTACAGACCAGAATTATGTCACATATAACAGCAAGTACACTACAGACCTCGTGGTACCACCACATTCCGGGTTGACACACCTCAGGTCGACCCTAGGGACTTGACCTCGCCCGCTAATGACGTGAGTTAGCCGGGTGACCTACAACCTCACCTAACCAAGACACCTGGGCAGGACCACACCTGCACACAGCTATCCAGATCAAACCAGTTTAGTGATAATTGGTTAGAGGTCAAAAGCCGGCTGGGCCGACCCTATATAAAGGCCCTACAGTCCCGTCCATTATCATTCGCATTATCATTCTGATCCTGGTTGCCATTCGAACATTACTCTGGAGATTCTCAGAGTCACGCTTGTCCTCTCCCCAGGTCGGGAGGTCCCCCTCCCGACCAGACCCCAGCTAAGCAGAAGCCTCCCATAGGAGGCAGCCCAGCCAAGCATCCACTGGGCCTACGTCAGGGTACACGTGAGTCTTGTCAGAACGATTCCTAGGGTGAGTTACCTACTGTGGGAAGTGTATTCATTCAGGTGTGTCCGAGAGTCAGTGTCGAGTAACGTAAAACATAATGTGTTAGTACCCCGATATAATAGTGATATTAATGTGTCCATGTCATGGAGTGAATTAATAAATATTTGTATCGAAGAGGTGTTTAACAAGTTGTCCCTTTAAGAAGTAATATATGTGTATTGACATATGAGAAGAAAAGATAAGCGTATTGACGCTGAGTAAATAACATCCCGGCCACGCTACCAAGTTCCTATCTTTACATTCCTACTCTCTATTCTTACTTATATATGTAATCTTCTCATTGTGTTCTGTCTCATTATACATTCAACATTTTGTTGCCGCTAGACAATGCACCAGGACACTCGCCCCTACTGTTGGATCGTCACCCCAGTGTAAAATTGGTCGTCCTTCCTCCCAACACTATGATGTTAATCCAGCCCATGGACCAGGAGTTGATAAGCAACGTTAAGGCTGCATTCTCCGCAAAGAAGTTTAAGCTCCTGAACGACTACACCAACACCAAGGATGAGTTGCGTAACCTTCTGAGTGGCACAGATAGCGAGAGCGACGACAACGAGGATGCAGAACAAGAGTTGGCGAAGCATGAAGTGCGAGTTAAACAGTTTTGGAAAATGTTTAACGTAAAGAAAGCTGTTAATTTCTTGGCGGAGGCATGGGGGCAGCTGTCTGTGGCAACGATTCGTCACGCGTGGTGGCATGTGTTGCAAGGTATCCCAGGTGGGAGGCAGAGGCAACATGTGGCTGGTGAGGTTCAGTCTGTTGCAGTGGCAGTGGACCTTGCAAGAGAAGCTGCACAGAGTGTTACAGCTGCAGGCTTCTCCGAGACCACCAACGACGACATCATGGAGGTAATCAGGGATCCTGAGGTGACTGCCGACGAGATGTTGGAAGACGATGACGTCAGTGAGGAGGCAAGTGGTGCGGCAGCAAGAGAACAGAAGTTAACTCGTGGTGATGTAAAGGATGCCATAGAGTTTGCCGAGAAACTAAAGCTCACCCTTTCAAAAGACCATGTCAATCACCGGTATGAAGTCTTCAATAACCTTCTAGACCAAAGTATGGAGCAGTACACCCAGATGTATCATGACCACATCAACACTAGCCGTCAGCGTAGCATCACTGACTTCTTCGCCCACAACCCACCACAGCCAGCCCAAGCCAGTGACAGTGATGGTGACTTTGGTGGGTTTGTCAGGGAGGCCCTGACATCTGTGGTGGATAGTGATAGTGATTCACCTGAGGGCCACTAATCTGCCCTCTGCCTCAGAACCAGCCCCCATCCCCGTATGCCGACCCATCTCTTCTACTAACGTAAGTGTTAAACCTTGATTTTTCTTTAACCTGGTACAGTATATTATTCTCTTATTGATATTTCTCTTCTATATTAGGTGAGTGTGCATACCATCATAAAATTAAGATACTATTTTTACTACAACGAATGTAATTGTGTCGGAAAAAGTGGAGTTTGGGGGTCGGCCCAGTCTGTATTTCAATTAATCCCATATGTTCTGTTATTTCATTTACCGGTACGCGTTTCTCGTTTTACGAGGACCTCCTTGGGTTCAATTGACGGCGTAAATGCAGACTATACTGCATGAATAAACGACTGTATGGCAAACCAGTGTACTATTCAGCTGATCAATGATAGTTATTAATACCTCGGTTTGAAACTTCTCCTTTCCAGATCTCACTAGTGATATCCCCATTCGCCGGACTAATTGGTTCAGAGCAATTACGGGATTGACAGATTTCTGGGTATGGAGACGAATTTTCACATCCCTGGAAAGTTTTCGGAGAGTCTAAATTACGCATCTTGCACAGGCAGACACAGAGTTGTATTTATTTAGGCAAACACCATTGTACACTTACAATATATTGTAAATAAACAACATACACTACTGTATAGAGTATACAGGCATACCCTGATAACCAATGCATATAGGGACTGGGAAAAGTCACTGGTTAGTGAATCAATGGATATCAAAGCAATTAATCCCATAAGAATATAAAAAATTCAGGGGGTTAGGTACAGGCTACCCTCTTTGTCATGCATATTGTCAAGCAAGAAAATAAAGCAGACATACAAAGCAGGCATAATAAGTCTTAAATAAACAATGTAAAGCATATATAGAGGATGGTAGAGACGGTGTAGGGTGGCAAGTTCAAGTCCCTATCACTCTTTGCTGGTCCATCACCACTCTTATTACACCTTATCACATCACATCAGCACAAGAGGAACGGGACATTTAGGCATGATTGCGTAACACACTAAGTCGGAAAAAAAATCAAGTCTCTACCAATCTTTGCTGGTTCATCACCCCTTATTATGCCTTATCACATCATAACAAGTGGCTCCTAAAAGGGGCAGCACAAGAGGAACTAGCACTGAGGCGATTAGGCATGATTACATAACACATGAAGTCAAAAATAATGAAAGAAAATGAAGGCAGAGACACATGGTGATTGTAAACAAAAGCAGAGAGGCGGGAATGAGTCAGAGGCAGCGTGACAGCCCTCTCATGGCAAGAATTTGCACCACGCCACCGCCCACCATATTCAAAACAGCTCTGCTGCTCTCTCCCAATTGTCGGACACCTGGGGTATCAACGAAACTTGCAGGGTATTTCCCCTATATGTAAACGTTGGTTATGTGAATCAGCGGTTATTGAGACGTTGGTTTTCGGGGTATACCTGTACTGTACTCACCATCAGATGCAGTCGTCTTAAGCTTGTGATGCAGGCAGGCTAAACTGTGATATGTACAGTAAAACCTTAATAAATCGGACTAATTGGGGCAGACCCCAGTACAAAAAAAATAAATAAATAAATATATGAAACAGAACTCTCTGGGTTGAAAATGAGACAAAAGTCTGGTTGTTGATAACCGTTTTCAACGAGATGAATGTTATGTAATACAAAATGTTATAAGTAAGTAATCACACAATTTGTCTTATGAATAAAGAGAAAACTGTATACAGTACAGTTCTAAAAAGATAAAAAATAAGAGGGTAGGGGTGTATACAATACTACCCCAAAGAAATTCAGGGGGGAAAATTTTTTTTTAATTATTAATAAAAAATATAATAATTTTGATTTAAACCATAACCCTGGTTGCACAGTTTATCACCTTATATCAGAAAAATAGTCACCTAAAAGAATAAATTCCCTGATCAATTTCACAATTTTTTTTTTTTATAAATTATATCCAAAAAATTGGCATGAAATGAAAGGGTACAGAATATTCATCAAATGGAAAAATATTATAATGGGAACTGTTCATTACCATCAACTCTAACAATTGTATAAAAATCCACAAAAAGTTACCTTGGGAGGATTGAAAGGGTATGTCTCTGGCACTTTTATTTCAAGGTGAAAAGTTGCACCTTCATATGGTGTGTCTGGAGGCCCAGCTATCTCTCCCCTCAATTCTCGATAGTCATCGCCAACTAGTTCTACGTTGATGGCACATTTTTGAGCCTGAAATTATAATTTACTTATCAAATTCTGTTTTCATTTCTCTTCTTGAAATACAGGTAAATATATTCTCTGCCATAAAAAAACAAGTTTAAAAATTTATGTTACCATTACAACAACTACAGTACAGTACTGGAAAACCAAATAGTCTGGAGGGGAAGATATGAAAGGTTGTGAGTGGTGATTATATTCTTCTTATATGAAATACTTGACCACCAAAGACTTGCTCAATAACAAGAAAAAGCAGTAAGATTAATATATTTCAACTACAATATGGGCAGTACATCAGTTAAATTGGTACAGTACTGTACTGCTGGTTGGCCTGTTTCAAAGTGATTATCAAATTCACTTCTTACTTGTTTTCCTTGTGAATTTGCATTTTAAGTAATAAAACATATGGTAATAATCTGGAATGTTTGCACAGGTTAGAAACTTTAGAAAAAAAATTCCATTTGAAGGCAACTTCTTTTTTACTTCAGGAAAACCTTAACAAATTGAGGCATTGCAATTTTCAGAATTGTAATTTTAATGGTTCTTGTTAAAAATACTGTAACAACCTTCCATCCACCTCATACAGCCGACATCATTAATTTTGTAGGGCTTAAACTGTTGAAAACACTTTCTAGCTCGTGACCAAATGCTTAGCAGTGACCTTTCTGTATCCTACCTAACCTAAAATAATACTTCTATCCTAGGATTAGTAAGTGAGGTTGATTCTTCTCATTTCCAATAAATCATATAATGTAGCAGTTGCTACAAGTGTTTGCATGTCTAGAACAGTAGCTGGAAATTGTTTATGAATGAAATAGTCATCATGAAAACCAGTGGTTCCCAAACATTTTCACATGATGCCCCCCCCCCCCACCCATTTGCTTTTTACCAAACCCTCACATCCCTCTCCATCCTTTAAAATCAATTTAATCAACTTTCAATAATTTTTACTCCTTGTACAGTATTCGTATTTATATTATTTTCAAGATCAACTAACGTGTAATTATTTTATCCATGTGCCTTGTGCATATGGGGAATGGTTGAAACATACTGTGAAAAAAAATGTTACACAAATAATTGTAAATAAAAAATAATGTCGGTACAGGTACCTTTATACAGTACAGGGGTATATATTCACATGGGCTCACACCCTGCTGTACCAACCTCGCACCCCCAGTTTGAGAACCACTGATGTAAAGAATGATAAGTGGATCAACACAAACACACTATTTTACCATGAATTCTTAAAACAACAAAACAAACTGACAAATCCCAGATATAACTGAACTTAACTATGTTAAATACACCGAACCCTTTTTAGATTAGGTTAGGTAGGTTAGGGTGGGTTTGGTTGGTTTTTACAACTTGAGAAAATATCACTTCTGTATATTGTCATTATATTCACTGTCACTAGAATATTTCTGCAATATTCATAACCTTTCTTACTTCTAGCACAAAGCCTTGTCCTCTTAGTGAAACAAATGAGTATACTGTTAAATATTCTACAACTGGTCAACAATAGGATTCATGTTCTGCTAAATATGTTAAATTTTGCAGTAAAAGTACAGTAATGTGTTGAAGCCCTACATTTTAACTTAGTTCCTCCTATATTTCACTTAGCAGGTAATTTATCCTTTAACATACTTCAAATTCATTTACATATCATTATTATATATGTGGAATTTGAGCATCATTCGTGTTACAACATCATGCAGAGCTACAGTTCATGCCTCAACACGAAGTAAACCTTATCCTGGCTTCCATTCCTCCACCCACAACTCAAAAGTAGTTTTAAGTTACAGTATTTGAGATGGATGAAAACTTACTTCATCGCTTTTGATAACCTCTTTAAACTCTCTCTTAATTCTCTGTATGGCGATGTTTGCCATGGTTGAGGGCAGGGTTGGTGCCTGGCACTGTTTACTTGCTCGACTGTTTTCGTTGACTACCAGCTGAGACGAACGGCCATACATTTTGTCTAATGCTAAATCAACTGGTGAGGATACATTTTTTTCTTTTTGTGCTCCACAAAGATTATTGCCTAAGCAATAATATTTCAGCACAATTCATTATGTGAACAATTTATTTACACCAATAATTAAGAATAATCATCGAATATTCCAGTAAGCATTAGAGATACAGCTCGCAGAACAAGCGCTCCCCAGTGAGTGTTGGCTCTGAGTCATCTAAGATGATCAAACTTTTCTATGCTCCAAAGAAAGAAATCTGACACCTAAACTACAGAGAGTTACGTTGCATATTCAAAATGATAGAAAATTTATATTTTTTATTATGTCGAATTATGATAAAGTAATACTGACAGCTAAGTCAGTCGCGCTTCTAGGGACAGTTCTAGTACTGTGTAAGTAAGGTTTCTTTTACTTGTTACTTTTATCCTCTTCACCACTGATCAGCTCGTTAGCCGCTTGGGCGATCGGTCATGTCTCTGATTACTTTTCCATTTCTTTTATCTTCTTCACCACTGATCGGCTCGTTAGCCGCTTGGGCGATCGGTCACGTCTCTGTTACGCACTGTTGGCAAGTACTGGACATGCACCGGCTCCTGAATGTACCTGAACCCACTCCAGTGTTGCTCAAGTCTTGTCTTGAAAGAGCTCACACTCGGTGCCGTCACAACACTTTCTGGTAGATTGTTCCAAGAGTTCACAACTCTCACTCCGAAAAAGTTTGCCCTCACAGTTTTCTGGACTTGCGGCTTCTTCAATCTTGAGCTGTGACCCCTTTTGGGGCGAGCGTCCGCCAGCTCCAAGTAAGGACACTCGACTGAGTAGTGTCCCTTGAGATGCTTATACACCTCTATTATGTCACCCCTTGCCTGTTTGTAGTATAAGCTAGGCAAGTTCAGGCGCTCCAATCTCTCAGGGTAGCTGAGGTGCCGAAGGGCAGGCACCAGTCTGGTGGTCCTCCTTTGAACATTTTCAACCAACTGACAGCCCCTAGCATATCTCGGGGACCAGACGGGGTGACAGTACTCCAGAAGGGGAAGCACTTCACTCTTGAAGATCGTTACGAGGGGTGGACCGTCTAGATATCTAAACGACTTTCTTATAAGACCCAATAATTTAATTGCCTGATTTACCTTCCTCTCACAATGGCCCGAGAACTTCAGCTCATTGTCAACATACACACCTAGGTCCTTCTCACATTGTCTCAACTAGTGCAGTTTCTTCATCCCGTTGGGACATGTGATACGCCTCCTTACCGTTGGTATGCCCCAGGTGCATCTTCTTACACTTCGTGACATTGAATCTCAGCAGCACATGGAATTAGCTGCAGCATTTAGTAAAGGGTGGTGCCAGTCGTCCACACACTCAGCACGAGTCAGTAGGGTGCCAGCAGCACGCACTTCAGAATATAACTTGACGTAGCGAACAACATATGATGTGGACATATGATTCATTTATCTTTGGCCATTTGGAGATCTCTATAAATTTATTTTAACGATTTTTTGTTAGCTTTCTCTGGTATCAGCAAACAGCTCAGGCATTTCATTTTATGTAATATACCATGTTACATCTATTTGAGGATGGATATGCAGTGTAGTTATATGCTAGTAGTATAGTGTTAAATCATGACAACTTCAGCTTACGAGGATATGAGACCATTTAGTCTGTACAGAATTCCTTTACACAATATGGAATTTAAGGATCATGTTACCGCCACAGTAAAGATAAACTAGAAGAGAGAGAGAAAGAAAGGGATAACCACAATAAGATAAACTAGGCGAGAGAGAGAGAGGGTGAGAGAAGAGATATAGTGTTGACGACGAATTTGCTGACGAATTTGCTGAGGTGTTTTAATATGAAACAGATGGCCCTCGCCTCCGGGCTGTGATTGCCCTCGACGGTAGTCTACCGATTTCTACAGGACAGACAAGTTGGTTCAGACCACTAGACCCTAAAACGTGAGTGATCGTGAAGTATTAGAATCTTCTAAGAAACTCTAAATAACTTTAATAAGTATATTTATGTACTGTAATATGGTCATATTATACAAATTGTCCCCAGATGTATCAACAGTTATAACATGTGAGTTATATTTAAGATGTTAACAGGCTATGTACTGTATATTGATTGTATTATTCATTCTATGTGTCCTGAGATAACAGCATTTGTTATATGTGACTTGTTCTTTGACAAGTTTTGACCGAATTATATGGTACGAGTCAACGTTGAGGGTTTATTTCTCCAGCAACAAACCAGTAACGCTCCTATGAGCGTTAACAGTCAAAACGTATACGGGAGGACTGTCGAAGGGAATTCTCAACTACGATGAGGACCAACGCCCCGAGTTCAGCGTGGGCGATCGGTCACGTCTCTGATTACTTTTCCTTTTCATTTATCTTCTTCACCAAAAGATCTGCTCGCTAGCCGCCCGGGCGATCGGTCACGTCTCTGTCACTCACTGTTGGCAAGTACTGGGCATGCACCGGCTCCTGAATGTACCTGAACCCGCTCGTGTTGGTCAAGTCTTGTCTTGAAAGAGCTCACACTCGGTGCCGTCACAACACTCTCTGGTAGATTGTCCCAGGAGTTCACAACCCTCACTCCGAAAAAGTTTGCCCTCACTGTTTTCTGGATTTGCGGCTTCTTCAATCTTGAGCTGTGACCCCTTGTGGGGCGAGCGTCCGCCAGCTCCAAGTAAGGACACCCGACTGAGTAGTGCCCCCTGAGATGCTTATGCACCTCAACTAGGTCACCCCTTGCCCGTCTGTAGTATAAGCTAGGCAAGTTCAGGCGCTCCAACCTCTAAGGGTAGCTGAGGTGCCGAAGTGCAGGCAGTCTGGTGGCCCTCCTTTGAACATTTTCAACCAACTGACAGTCCTTAGCATATCTCGGGGACCAGACGGGGTGACAGTACTCCAGATGGGGAAGCACTTTACTCTTGAAGATCGTTACGAGGTACGGACCGTCTAGATATCTGAACGACCTTCTTATAAGACCCAATAATTTATTTGCCTGGTTTACCTTCTTCTCGCAATAGCCCGAGAACTTCAGCTCATTGTCAACATACACACCTAGGTCCTTCTCACATTCAGTCTCAACTAGTGCAGTTTCTTCATCCCGTTGGGACATATGATACGCCTCCTTGCCGTTGGTACGCCCCAGGTGCATCCTCTTACACTTCATGACATTGAATCTCAGCAGCCATTTCTTCAACCATTCTTGAAGCCCACATAGGTCCTTCTGCAGCTCCTCACAGTCCGCTTGGTTCTCAATTTCCCGAAATAACTTGGCGTCATCAGCAAACATTTGTATGGAGGAGTGTACAACGTCAGGCATGTCATTTATGAAACAAACAAACAACAGCAGGCCCAATACACTGCCCTGTGGTACCCCACTTGTGACAGGTAAGGATGACGTTTTCGTGCCATTAATCACCACACACTGCTTGCGGTCATGTAGAAAGTCTTCTATCCACGCAAGGACATTTCCCCGAATTCCGTACCCTTCCAGTTTTATTTTCAGCCTTTCATGGGGTACACTGTCGAAAGCCTTGGCAAAATCTAAGTAAATATTGTCGATATTACTACCCCGTTCCAGAATATGGGTCCAAATATCCAATACCTTGAGCAGTTGTGTTAAGCAGGAGCGCCTCGGCATAAAACCGTGTTGGCAATCCTTCACAAGGTTGTTTCGTATTAGATGTTCCATTGCGGCATCTCTGATAATAATCTCAAGTACTTTACATATTATGCTGGTCAGGCTCACCGGTCTATAGTTGTTCGTGGAGTGACGATTGCCCTTCTTGAAGATAGGACTCACATAAGCCACTTTTCATTCACTGGGGACCATTTGTTCATCCAGGCATTTACAAAACAGGATCTTCAGGGGCTCGGTAAGCTCGTTGTACAACTCTCTTAGCACTCTAGGATGTACCATGTTAGGGCCGGGACTCTTATGGACCTTTAGCCTGGACAGTTTATTTCTAATACCCTCTTTTGTGAACACAATGTGGGTCAGTGCTGTGTCGAACCGTCTGTCCTCAAACGCAGGAAGGTTAATTGCATCCTCTCTTGGGAACACCGAGGAAAACAAGCTGTTCAATGCCTCAGCTTTATCCTGGTTAGAATCTGCGTAACTACCATCCACCAGCCTCAGGTCTGGTTGCTTCATCCATGCGGCGTTCGTCCCCAGAGTCTTGCTTTCAGGAAAATATTTTGTCATTGTCGTCTTGAGTGTGAGCAGATGCTCGCCAATTTCGGTCGCCGGGCACTGAACCTCGCTACTTTGAAAAAATCGGTCTAGCCTGGTAAACATAGCGACGTTGTTCACGTTGACTCGCCTGTGCCATAGTTCCATTTGTTGACAGAAGGCATTCATCTTATCTTGGACATCGATGATGGAAGCATTTTTTCCTTGTAGAGAGCAATTCAACACATTCATCTCTCGAAAGATGTCCGACAGATAAGCTAGGCGTGCGATGAGTGTTAAATACGAGGTTACCCCACCGTGCCAACAGAAGCATATTACCCCAGCCAAAATGTAGTTTTTACCCCGGTTGGGGTAATTACCCCAAGTTTGAGAACCACTGTTGTAGAGGATAGTAAGCATTTAACTACCTAATTTTTACCTAACGACCACTCAAACTGAATATGACCAAGACGGAAAACGAGGCCCGATCAGTATCGAAGAGAAAAAATAAAGATATTCTGGAGGGTTTTACCCCTGTATATCCAGCTCAACTGCTTTTCTGCGGGCTAATTGGTTTAACGCAATTTCAATCTCTTTAACAGAGCATCAAATCCTGAACTGGCCAGTGTTTTCTCAAAGGGGAGAACGCGTGGAAACTCGACTACCTGTTCACATACTGTATGCTGCACCATACGGAACTTTACAGCAAAATATTTAGTCTCAGCTTGGTGTGTGGACGTATCAAGAGGAAATTAAAATTACGACCTCTGGTAATGCCGCTGACAGTTGTGAGGAATAATAAATCATGATATTCCTAGCACCATGTTGAGGTTTTCG